ACACTAACTTTGACTCAGATTGTCACACTGATGTCACCACGTCCTCTGGCTCTAAGGTCAAAAAAAAAAAAAAAAAAGACAGAAATGTGTTGCTACAGAAACAGAGTTGGACGCACTCCCCTCCATGGTGACGTGTTGGGAGGCTGGCCTCAACTTCAGCCAATCGCTAATGGACAATGGGAAGAAGCAGGCGATATTAAAAGAGAGGATGCTATTTTGGGGTCTGGAACGTGGCATTACTCAGCAGCGATGTCAGACGATGTACTTTTGAGCTTTTGTGTTGAGATTATGAAACCATCGGCAGAGGGGAGAGGGGAGCGTGGTCTGCCTCATGTCAGAGGGAGGCAGGCTGTTGTGAATCCAGAGCACGGCAGGGCATCTGTGTTTGTGTCCAATAAAGAGCCCTGTTCAAAACCAAGGAATTCACTGAAAGTAGGATTTAGATGCTTTATCCTAATAGATGGTGATATAGGCCCTCTCAAATATGGAAAAAATATAGATAATTCACATTTCACACTCTCATTTTTTTTTCTTTATGATTAAGCATTTAATTACATTTTAACAAAGAGATCACTCATACAATATTCTGAAAACATACTTGAGTTCATTCACAAGCACTTGGTACTATGACAGTACTACTACAGTATTAACCTGTAGAGGGCAAATGAACTTTATCATAATTAGTAATTGTTTATATATATTGTATATATTCATCCAGCTTAGTCCTGTCTCCTCTCAGTCTGATGTTGAACCATGGCAGAGAAACAATGACAACTTGCCTGGGATAGTCACAAGCAAATTTTTCCACACATCCCTCATCTACCAATATCTGTATCTGACTGATGCAATTTTATGTTCCTGACTGTTTCTTCTTAATGGTTCTCATCCAGTACACAAGAAATTAAATACGGATACAGTCTTAAATTGCCTATTGTGAAGTTCAATTCAAATGTCTCTCCCTGTTAGATAATGAGTTAAGCTTCAGGATCATGTTCCTAATAAAAGAGTTGATCATGTGGAGAATCAGAGGGTCCAGTAGGTCATGGTGTACGTCAGGGATTCAGTAAGAAGAAGCGTTTGTTTGTGTCCAAAAGCCCCAAGAGGAAAATACCAGGCATAGATTTACAAGTACATCAGGACCTCCCAAAATCTTCTGGCTCTGTTCATTTCTTATACAGCCCAATAGTATCATATTGGAGATAAGAGGGTAGAACATTGAGACAGATGATTAACTACGTACATACATCTATTTAAAATCTTGTGTAAGAACAATTTAAAATGAAATGATTTATTTTGCTACACCAGGTATGATTGTATTAAGATAAAAGTAATTCAATAACTCATTTTGTGTTATTGTGCTCAATTTTATTATATATTTCTAATGTTCCATAATCTTCCTAATCTGGATATTACAAAACTTGAATTTTAGATTTTTGTTTTGTTTTTTGTATGGAATACCTTGTTCACAATCAGATAACTAGATGAGTGAAAACTTCTAGGATTTTAAAAGACTCAAACATACTATATTTACTTGTTGTAAATGTGATATTTTATGACTTTATTATCCTCAACAGTATTTATCATATTTTGACTCATAGACTTGACTGCGAGGATTGTCAAATGGGGTGAAGAGTCAATAGAGACATGTAGATAATTTATCCCAATGCTGAACTACAACCACGATAAGAGCTGCAATCAGTTCTCTGGCCATAATTAATATTTCTAAAAATCAAACCAAACTTTATGCAGACTACAATATTAAAAGGGACAATGCAGCTATTACCAAACTTGTAATTATGACGTATTAATTGTGCTGATTTGCTTATGTGTGAGGTCTTTTTGGTTTCCTGTGCTGGTTAAACATGGCTGACTTGCATCCTTCAGACTGAAGTAGCTTCGGGTCAGAAGGTTTCAGTTGTTGGTGTGATCAGGTGACCACTGCTCAGTTCTGCTCGCTGCACACAGAATACAAGCTCAAGTTTCTACGAGACAGAGTTTATTAGGTCTATTGCATACTTAGATTATCCAGACACTATTAAAAGTGTTTCTTCAGAATAATATCACTAAAGATGAAGATGAAGCAAAAGCTGTCCATGGTTAGAGAAAAGGATGGTGAAAAAACTGAAATACATTCTAAGTAAGGTTTGTGTTTGACAGACAGGTTATGTGTGACTGACAAAGCATTAAAAATAAACAAATACATGATAATACATATTTTGAATTCCATGTAGGTAACATTAATAGATGCAGAGAAATCAGCGTAATCAAAAGTAAAAAAGTACCAAAGTAGTCAGGCCTGGCAAGACTTACATGGGCCCCCTCTAATATACATTAATAGGCAGAGGTTCCAATTCTGGGCCCCTAAGACCCTAGTATCCATGACAACAGACCTCTGTCGACTCTCAGACCCCCTGTCGAATCTCCTGAAAGTAGAAGCAGTAATAGGAAAGTATTAGTTAAGTGGGAGTAAAATATTTGTAGTCAAAACTGTATTTTTTATGTTGTAAATGCATTTTGAATGACTTTGTGTACAAGTTGTGCTTTACAAAGAAACTTGCCATGCCTGTATGTGACAGAGAAAATGTAAACTATTACTATTATTATACATTTGCATAACTCAAATCTCCATTATTTTGAAGCATGCTTTCTCAGTACAGTAGATTTACAGTGGTCAGTGTTTTTTGTTACACAATCTTTTACTGCTGAGTCAAAGGTACTTGCTCTGTCCCCCTCCACCCCCTCTTTCTTTGTTTATCTCTCAATGCTCAATTATATAACCAACTTATGTAATACCAGCTAACTGCAGCAGCATGACATAAGGGCTGGAATATTTCATGCCAAATTATGAATTTTAAGCTTTTTGGATGCCATCTGTCTCTTACTAATGTAATAATTAAACCGAACGAAGTCAAAGTGGGTGGGAGTTGTGTTGTGTGAGCGGTTGCCATCGGGAGTTAGTGCCAGGAGAGGAACTGAACTCGGATAACAATAACAGGTTTCTCTCTGAAGACAAAAGGAAAAAGGTCTGTATGTCCGGAGCAGTCCATGGAGAGAGATCATAAAGATCACATAGAGACCAGTGTTATAAGGGGTTCAGTAGGAAGCAGATAGTTAAGTTTTAGTTTGTGGGTAGCTAATGGTGAAAGTCATGTAAGGTGTATAACAATAGGAATATTACAAAAAATAGACTTAGACAAACTTTATCAATTCACAAGGGACATTATTGGGACACAGTAGCTCGCACATCACACTAACAGAGCAAAAATATAAATGGTAATAATAAAATCTAAATAAACTGCAAAAATAACAAGAGTGTTGTCAAATAATGCATAAATATGAACGTATATGCAAGTAAAAATAAAATAATGTTTCCCTAATATTAGCGATTAATGTTTTTAGACTTGAATTTTTTTCAGCATAAACATAAACACAACATAAGCCCAATGTCTACCTCCAAAATCACTATATTATACTACTAATATTACAACACAATTAGTAGCACCCCACTATAGTATTTATAGAGTACTACCAGGACTCAAACATATCATATTTACTTTGCTTTAAGTGACAGCAGTTGTAAGTGTTATATTTGTGTTTGAAGGCATTGCTTTGAGCTGTTTGGTTATGTCTTACTTGGTGTCATTTATCTTGGTTTACCACATGAATTCAGTCTTTAGGGAATTTCAAATATAAAAGTATAAAATATAAAAGCTTTCTTACATTGTGTGTTTCAGTATTTTAGCATTACCTCATAGTGAAGCACATCAAACCCAGTCTCCCACAAAGCAGCGTCTTTCTAGTGTAGCTGACAGCTCCCTCACTGCGGCTTTGAGGACGAGTTTCAAAGGACCTTATAAAGCAGAAGAATAACATTATAATGAAAACAGACATTGTGCTCTACTGTCAGTTAAGTTTGAATTGTGAAAAGTATCCCCAGACTTCATCCCGTGCGGTTGTAATCATTATACTGTGTTTATGTAAAAAGGGTTACATTAATTTGAAATATGAATGCCTATTGTCCTTTTAAAGCTGCCTGTATAATGCACCTAAACAGACTGCATTATGTATTGTGTTGTCCGATATTCTAATCATATCTTTTTTTGTTTTGTTTTCAGAATTCGAAGAGTGCCCAGGGCCTGGTTGGACTCAAGAACCTGGGAAACACGGTGAGCACAACAAAAACATTGACATTTAGACTTCAGCCTTTACTTGCCATTAATTTACCACTCATCAACAGTAGTGTGTAAATGTATTTAGTAGGGCTGCATGAAACTGCTGCGATATGGCTGTTGAGAACTGCTTGATTATATTATTGCAATACTTTAATATTCATTTATTATATTAGTTACAGTTACATGTGTTAATATGCTTTAATATGCTTTAATATACTAGTGAAACTTTGTCCAAATAAAAACTTAACAAAGACAAATACAGGACTAAACCAAGGCTGATATGGGAAAATCAGCTTTATTTAACATTTTCATAAAAAAACAAAAGTTGCATCGTATTTTTATCAGATGGGGAACCTTGTTGTTATTGCGGTATATATTGAGTCTGTTGCAGTATGCAGTGTGCGTCAGTCAATATCGCTACAATACTTTTGCAATATATTGTCTAAACCTAGTGTTTATTAAACTTCTCTGCCTAGCCGTAGGTGGTTTGCCAGGCAACAGACAGCGTGCCACTCTGAAAATAAACAGTGTATGTGTGATAGTGTGCACAGTAACCTAATCACAGGCCTCTGAACAGTGGACAGAGAGAGGGAGAGGGAGAGAGGTGAGGGGGTCTGTGTGCAACCGGTTTGATCTGTCCAAAACAGCACGTGTCCTGTCTGTTCCAAGTCCACACGTGATACACATGTTTATAAACACAGTTAGTCATTCAAATTCAGCTCAGTTTCTTTCCACTTAAATGTGTATTGCAAGATATTTCTATGCATATTCATGGTGATTTTAAAATATAATCTGTATATTTATATTGTACATTTCTTTGTATAGTATAATCTAACTTTTAAAGCACACTGTAACTTTTCTGGAGGGTCTGCCACCTTCTTGTTTCCATGTTTTTACTTGGTCTTAAATGAATGATCCACATGGCATTAAATGTATCTTATCATTTTGTATTGCTGAAATACATTTAATTCAATGTGTTTTTTTCTTTATTATACTACTTTCTATATTTTATATACAGAAGACATCAAATATTTGAGGTATGAAGATATATGTACCAAAGAGAAAAGGTGTATAAACAATATTTTTTAATCTTTTATATTCAAATCCTCAAAGTAATCACTCTTGGCTTTGTCGAAAAACATTTAGCACAGTTATTTAACTTTCATGTTTTACTAAATGATTTCATATATCTTGCTTCATATCAATACATATATGTATCTTCTGTATATAAAATGTGGAAAGTCGTTAACATAGTAAATTAAAAATCATTGAATGAGAGGGTGTGGTTAATTTTTGACTGGTAGTGTACATTTATTGTTAACCTGATGATGGAGTGATAGAAGGAGCCATTCCATACAGATATCTCCCACTAACAGGACTAAAAGATAAACTGTATACAATGCAGTACTGTCAGTGTTCTTGAACATGTTGTATTCATGCGGTTATCAGCTGGTCACACGAAGGCTTTTTAAATCCTCTGTGACTGAGATCGAGTCTGCCCTCCAACAGTTCTACTGTATAAACCAATAGGCATCTGTACCTTTTACCTTTTGTTCAGTAGAGATTAGCAATTACAGGGCTGAAATTTTCCAAATGATTCAAGTGAAGGTAAATGCAGTTTAAAAACACAGTGGAGCACTTCCTGTATTAGCACATGACATCACAAGGTAGAGCAGAGTGTTTTTAGTTTGAGAGGAGAACTCAAATCTCAAGGAGAACCTAAATATGCAGGATATGTGTGTTAAACATGTGTGAATGAAACAAAACACAAGAGATCTGTTTGTGATGAGGAAACATTATGACATAGATCAGAAAATAGTGTAATATAGGTCCTTTAATGAACAGGTGCATCTCTCCACAGATCTGACAGGTTTACTTGGCCTTCTGTCCATAGAGCTACCTTTTTTTGCCATAACACCATTTAAGCAAAGCAATAAGATCTCCATGGAGACAAACAGGTGGCGTACACTTCACCAGAAAAGTTATATCATACATAACAAAAACGTCTATTTAATAATTAACCTTACTAGTATGTTACTGGTTTGATCTAAGGAATTCAGTGGCAGTAAACACGCAGCAGTAGGCACCAACATTAAAAAGTATTACTGTAGGTTTCTTTCTTTCTGCTTTGTCATCACATAAAGCTAATAATGTGTAATAGCTAATAAACTTCCATCTCTGAGTCTTATTTGTTGTGTTTTGTAGTGCTTCATGAACAGTATCCTGCAGTGTCTCAGTAACACACACAGCCTCCGAGACTACTGCCTGCACAACAGTCACCGCAGAGACCTTAACAACAACAGCCGCACCAACACCGCCCTCATGGAAGGTACGGACACCAAAGGGGGGACATCAAAGGGGGGAGAGCCAGGGAGGGATACCAAGGGCTCACAGGGTTCATGAGAGTTCAAATTCCAGTCTACAGTTGTTTGTCAAAGTTATTTAGTTATTTAGTGCAAGAGTGCAAGAAAATGTGTGTGAAAAAGTGTGTGTGTGTGAAATGAAACACCAAGATCATCTAGAGTGGGTTATTATGGACATTTTAAGACCAAAATAACGAGGCTCACAGCCACAGTTAAAGAGAGAGGAGTGACACTTTTTCAGTATAAAGTCAATTGGAGCTGGTGTCGATGCTCACTTCCAATTTGGAACATGGTGGCTAGTACGTTTGCATATACAGTCTATTATTGTATGTCAGTTATTTAGTTTATCATATATCTGTATTGTCCATTTATTTTCAAATACCTGACTGTTTCCTGATTCCTGTTTTGCAGAATTTGCCAAGTTGATACAGACGATGTGGTCTTCAACCAGCAGCGAGGCAGTCAGCCCCTCTGAATTCAAAACACAGATTCAGAGATATGCGCCCAGATTTGTGGGTTACAAGTAAGTTTCATATAGTTACTTACATAATAACATAATAACTCTGGTTACACTTTATTTTAGGGTACGCATATTAAAGTTTACCTAGCTGCTATTTTGCATATTTACATGTGGTTAATTTGATGTTAATTGGGATTCATTCAACCCTTATTAATGTTTGATAACTCTATTCTGCTGCTAATGAGAAATTTACTTACTATCATTTTCCTATTAATATATTCTTTATTACTGTTAATTAATTATTATGATGTTTGGACAACATTCTTATTACCATCATAAATCATGTACCACAATTCCTAATGTCAAACTAACATGCAGTCATTTTATTAAAGATGCACTGTGTAACTTTTCTGGTGGAGGGTCCATGCTTTCCTTCATGGAGTTTGATAGTGTGGCTTTAAACATTTCTATCATCATGGAGACTAAACCAGGCCAAGTTATGGGTCAGAATACCTGCTTTTCTTCTTGCTTTTTGAGCAAGAAAGCCACTTGTAACTGAATAAATGTAAGGTAGATCTGTTTAATGACATATCCATAGAAACAAGAAGGTGACGGACCCCAAACAAAAACTTACATAATGTACCTTTAAGAAATATTAATTTACACAGAATTAACCACTTTATTCAAATCAACAGCTGGAAAGATATTAATAAGTACACCGTAAAATAAAGTGTTATCATAACTCAACAAGGACTTATAATTGCTGTATTTCTGAACCCTGTGTGTAATGTGCAGCCAACAGGACGCTCAGGAGTTCCTGCGGTTCCTTTTGGACGGTCTGCACAACGAGGTCAACAGGGTCACAGTCCGGCCGAGGGGCACAGTGGAGGACTTCGACCATCTCCCGTGAGTTTAAAGGGCGAATATTGCACCATTTTCTGATTTATGCTATAATGTTGTTTTCTCATCACAAACATACCTGGAGCTGTGTTTTGTTTCATTCACATGTTTAACTCAAAAAACCCTGCATATTTAGGGTCTTCTCTCAAACTCTCATTTCCACTATGTGATGGCATGTAGTAATATAAGACGTGCTCCACTGTGATTTTAAACTCCATACAACTCGTAACAACTCTGTTAGCTTGAAAACGTGACACAAGGTCAAAAGGTGGAACAGGGCATTTTGAGCTTTGAAAATGAAGACAGACTAATAATGCAGGATTACCCAAAAATGTGTGAATGAAACAAAACACAACTCCAGATATGTTTTTGAGGCAACAACATTCTAAAATGGCTTAAAGCGCACAAGAGTAAATTTTGCATAATCTAACATAAACTCTAATGTAGAATGAGATTCTGTGATTTCTGATTGTCAGTGATATGCTCTCCTCTTTTTAAATGAGAGTGTTCAGGAAATTAATATTGATAAGACAAAATTAGATTCAATAAAAAATTGTGATTGATCAAAATATATATTTTCACACAAATGAGCACACACAAATGTCTTAAAATGCATAATTAATCATAATCAAACATAGACATTAAGTAATACATCGATACATTTCAGTATGTTCGAAAGGGAGTAGGAAGAAGTTTGAACTTTTTTAATCCTACTCCTTGCAAAGTTTTCGATAGTTACATGTTTATTTTTGTCTTCATATACAGCTCTATTTCTCAGATGTAGTATTTTTATCCCTGTGGCAGTGTTGGGTAACATGTATCAGTAACCTCAAATATTTCTAGGTTAAATCTGAATTCTCACTATACAATATTTTATGTAAATCTGATTACGTGTAGCCCAGTTTTTCCTGTACAAAACGTACTACTTTTCAGTTCACCTAGATTTGCACACTGAAGTAGGTCAGGTCTCTAAATAGCCTCCAGACGCCGTTATCACCCACTTTTCATGATTGGAAATTTAGCAACACGCTTTGAGCCTGGTTTCCTTTCTGTATAATCACTGATACTAATATAACATCTATTGTGTTGTGCTATATTTTAGAGACGAGGAGAAGGGCAAAAAGATGTGGAGCAAATACCTGGAAAGAGAAGACAGCAAAATAGTTGGTAAGTAATTTCAAACATAGACCTACCATACATACCCAAGACCAAGGGACTAACTCATTGTGGTTATTGAGGCAAAGGCGACTAGTTAATTCTAAATAAGCCTTTCGCTGTAATTACTATATTGACTTATATATACATATATAACTGGACTATATAATAAATGTCAGTATTTTCCTGGCTCAGCATTAGCTGTGTGTACCCTTACTTTGCACTTGTGGGGGATGTTATGTTGTACATTTGAGATGTTGAATAATTTATATCTCATTATGGATATCGTACTAAGTAAAAAAAAACACATTTATTTCAGCACAAAATAAATATGGTAAGTAATGATATGGTTCATTATGAAAAGGGCTGTCTGGGATTATGTGGCTTTAGTGTTATTGTGTCAGGGGAATTAGGTTGTGACAGTTTCTAAAGAAATAAATAAAAGTCATGATACACTTAATTGTGGGGAAACTTTTCCTCTCTACATTTAAGATTCAGATCTTGAGCTACTCTTGGTCAGGACTCCCTTAGATGAAGGACTGTGCCGATTGTTTTGGGTTGATGGGGAAAACCAGAGTGCTCAGAGGAAACCCACCCAGACACAGGGAGAAAGAGTCTCAAAGTAGCCAAGAGCCAAACACAGAACCTTCGTGCTGTGAGGCGAGGGTGCTAACTTCACAATTTTTTCACCACCCTAAACGTACAGTAAGGTTTTCCTGAGCAGGGTTCTGACTTCTGCCAGTTTGTCTCCCATTGCACTGAAGGATGGGTCTCATTCAGAGGACCTGAAGACAAATGACATTACCTCACCTTACCCTACTTCTAATCATTTCCCATGAAAAGGTCGAATCATTGATACAAGAAAAACTGGCTCCTGCTCCACATTGGAGTCTGACATAATCTCCTTTTAGAATCTGAAGACTGCCAGTTCCAACAGGCAGCAACATGACCGCTTGAAATACAGAAATGGGTCATGGTTTGTGGTTTAGGTTTAAAACTGACATAGAACATTTTGGTCACACATTTTATAAACAACAATGAAATAGCAAAAACTCTATACACCTTTGCTATAATAATTTGGATAATTTCAAACCAACCTGGAATTGCCAGTCTCTACTGAAATAAGGTAAAAGGTAGCTGTTAACTTCAAAGCTACCACTGCATGACAGCATGCGGTGGAATAGGGCATTTTGAGCTTTAGAGATGTAGGCAGACTACAAGATTAATCAAACATGTGTAAATAAAACAAAACTGTGAGCAGGTTTTTGATGAGGTAACATGGCTCACAAGAGTCAGTTTTGTGTAACATACAATAGGATCTATAACAGACAAATGTGAAGTTTACACAAACAAGGCTTTACTTTTTTTTTACAGTAATTTTGAAGCATTTTAACCATATTACCCAAGTACCTAAGCCTTAACATAATATGCATTCTTGGAATCTATATTTGAATTTAAAAAGCAGATGTAAATATATGTTTAAAAAACAAAATACAGTCATGAGACATTTGTTCAGTTAAAAAGATAAGACTAAATCCCAAACCTCTGATTTCTGTTTCAGACCTGTTCGTGGGTCAGCTGAAGAGCTCTCTAACCTGCAGTCACTGTGGGTTCTGCTCCACTGTGTTTGACCCCTTCTGGGACCTGTCTCTACCCATCGCCAAGGTTAGACTCATGCCCTAAAGCACAACATACACACACGCACGTGCACACGCACACACACACACACACACACACACACACTTTTAGATCAGAGTAACTGCTGGACTGTGACTTCTGATCTGTTGTATTTGGGTCTTCACAATATCACTCAAAGTAGAGTTATTTGCTCTGTGTCTGTCAAATGAAGGTGCTCCATGTAACTTTTTTTGTTGAGAGTATGCCACCTGCATAATGTCTCCATGGAGATGTTTACATCTACTCTTACTGTCAGCAGGTTCGCTTTCCCATAGATGTAACAGATCTGTTCATCTCCATAGCAATAGATAAATTTAATACTGTGGAGCATTCCAGGCAAGCAAGCAGAAAAGTTACATAGTGAACCTTTGAACAAAAACTAGAGATTCCTCCGTTTAAGTCTCTCTTTGATTTACAATATATTTTATATATGTCTTTCCTGTGTTTTTCTACTGATGCATTTGAAACTGTTTTGATAGACATATCACTTTCTATTCCTGCTCCTAACATGAGCTCTCTGTTTCTCTTGTCTTTCTCTCTGTGCTTCTGTATTCTTTGTGTGTCCCTGTATTATTGTTTTGTATTTTTGTGTTGTTCTTGTATGTTTTGTCCTGTTGTGTGTGTGCTAATGTGGCTGCGTGTCTGTTTCCGCTCAGAAGGGCTACGGGGAGGTCAGCCTCATGGACTGTATGAGGCTCTTCACCAAAGAAGATGTTCTGGATGGAGACGAGAAGCCGGTATGTGCCACAAAAAAACTTTTAAGTGTAATTACCTCAAATAAAGCTGGGGGTAGATTAGGATTTTGTGTTACAATTATCTAGTCACTGTTTGTTAATAACTACCGGTATTCCTATATAGTTTATATGTGAGGTACTCTATAGTAATTTGAGTAAGTCATTTTCTTTGTGAATCAACAATTCTGTTTAAGTAGCAATAATTATACTCATCAATATTACTTGTAAGTAAATAGTTTTCAATTCAAAGTAAACAGTCAGTTATAGTAGTTTGAATTTTCCAGCTGTTTGTGAAAACTTTCCTTTATAAATACCATGTGGGTTCATAAAGTTATAAGCAAATAGTTTTCAAATTTGATATATCCATTGGTCTGAGTGATGAAAAATTAGCACAGTTGCCACAGTAACAAATAAAACCAAAATATTATATCTTTTGAATGAGCAGCTTAAATCCTTATATTTACCAACATTTACACTGCTGAAATGCACTGAACAGTTTCCTCCTTTCCTTCACAGACGTGTTACAGGTGTAAAACCAGGAGGAGATGCACAAAGAAGTTCACAATTCAGAAGTTCCCCAAGATTTTAGTTCTTCGTATCCTTTTCTGTTCTGAACTGACTGTTGCTTTAAACTATAAATATAGCACTTTACAATGTAAAATTTATTCTGAGCTCAGGTCTATCGTTTTCCCTTAACTCCAATCCTGTTCAGACTTAAAGCGTTTTTCTGAAGCGCGAAGAACCAGCAAACTGTCCACTTTTGTAAATTTTCCCATGAAAGATCTGGACCTCCGGGAGTTTTCTTCAGACAACAGCAGTAAGTGAAAATTACAAACAGTGTATTTACTCTGTTTAGCTTGTTTATGCAGTTCTCCTAAAAAATGTAATGGGCACATAAAGTAATAACTGTAATTTATATTTTTCTTTTACAGTCAATGCAGTGTACAATTTGTATGCAGTGTCCAACCACTCAGGCACCACTATGGGGGGTCACTACACAGCCTACTGTCGCAACCCCAGCTCGGGAGAATGGTACACCTTCAATGACTCCAGGTATGTTTAAAGACACAGAAAATTTACAAAACAATGCTTTATAAAATCAGGTATTGACACCAAGGATACACACTGATAATATTACTAGAATTATGTTAAATCTAAATGCAAGACATGGCTTACACCTACTTTTTAACTTCAACTGTAAAATAGATACAATATCTAAATAAAAAAATATGTTAAAGGTGAATTATGTCACTTGTCTGGTAGATGGTCCACCACCTTTCGAGAGTAAAAAGTAGTCAGAAATGTATTTATTTTTGTCAGTATCACAAACTCTTGCCTATGAGTTTGAAATATGTATCTTGTGTTTGCAGAGTAACGCCAATGTCCTCCAGCCAAGTGCGCAGCAGCGACGCCTACGTCCTGTTCTACGAGCTGACGTTGTCCTCGCGCATGTGAGGCTGTGACGGGACACGCTCTGCTCCGACACTTATGGACTGGGACATTTATTTCAACAAGCGCACACATGAAGGCACACACTAGGGGGCCATCTCCTGCTCCCCTCCCTGTTTGTATGTGTGTCTTTGGGACGAGTGTGCCGTAATATGAATGGGTGTGTAAACTAGTGTGCTTGGACAAGACACAGGGCAATAAACGCATCCATCTCCAGTCCCTCTCTATGCACTGCAAACTCCTTCTGACAACGCCTTCTTCGCTTCTGGTTTGCCTCGATCATTAAAACTGATTTGTTGCATTTTTTGGACTTTTTAAACTTTGATTTTATGTTATGTTTTTTTTTGTTTTGTTTTTTTTGTTTTTTTGGAGGGCGGGGTTTATTTGAGCTTATTCACTATTCATTATTATCTTGTTGGATGACAGTACACACTCCGGCCTCTGATCTGTATCGTATTGAGTTCCCCTTCACGCGTGGCTGCTACTGATGTTTTTAAAGTGCTGTGAACGAATGAATGGACGCTATTAGGATTAACAATATACGATGACGCCTCATTTTGTGTATGAGGCCTTTTCTTCCTCTCGTCTCATGCCATTGAACAACATGATCGAATGTTTTAAGACGAAAAAAAAAAAACACATGATATCTGTATATTTTTATATCCTGATGCAATATAGAGAATGTACTATTCAATGGTGCTGAAATGACCCATAACTGTTTTCAGTTGGTTTCTTTACCAGGTTTCAAGAGAGACAAAAATATTATTTATGCTTCGAAGTGATAATGTGACACACTTTTTAATAGTGGCCGTCAAACACATGGATATATAAATATAAATATATATGAATAAAGTCAACAAACAGTGGTTTTACTTTTACTCCTCTGGTCATTTTATTGTGTCTAATATTATGAACTCAGATCAGTTCATGAGTAAGTGCACTACCATTTTTACTAAAAAGTTTCATCAAAGAGTTCTTCTCTCAAACAGAAAATACTCTGCTCCACCTTGCGACATCATATGGTAATACAAGAAGTGCTCTGTTGTTTTTTCAAACTCCATACAATTCCACAAGAATCATTTGTATAATATCGTCCCTGGAATTTCCAATCTCTACTGAACTAAAGGTAAAAGGTAGGTAGCAGAGCTTTAGAGATGTTCACAGATAAATAATAAAGGCTTACTCAAACATGTCTGCATGAAACAAAACACAACTCCAGGTATGTTTTTGGGAAGGTAACTAACATGGCTCCATTTTGTGTAAGAAAGGACCTTTAAGTAGAACAAATTTAAGATAATAACATTCATTTTTCAAATTGATCAAACCATGAGACTAGCTTAAAGCAGGGATAATATAAAGCTGGATCTAATATGTATTAAAGTTTGACCAATACAACAGAAATCTTATCGATGCATTTTGTGAAACTACAGGCTTAAAGCGAGCACAGACCATTATTAAACCAGATCAAATCCCTATCCTAACTTTGAGGTGAATTTATGAGAAATATAAATAGCTCTATAGCACTGACTAGTGGCCATATAGCAGGTCTGCACACATAACTGCACTACAAAAATATTACAACACCATTACTACAGAAAGACTAATTTAAAACAAATCTATCTAATCTAAATTAAATCACGTTGCATGTGAATTTTATTCAGTGACCAGAACCAACAGCTGAGCCAATCTCTCTCTCTCTGTGTCTCTCTCTCTGTGTCTGTCTCTCTCCTCCTGTCCTGTCTTGTCATCTCTTTTTCCACCCCTCCTTGAGCCATCACCTTACCATGGTGGAGGGATTTCGGTACCTGAATGATCCTGTTTTAGTCCTGGTTCAGTCCTTGTTCAGTCCTGGTTTATTTCTGTTTTTAGTCCTGTTTCAGTCCTGGTTTAGTCCTGTTTTAGTCCTGTTTCAGTCCTGGTTTAATTCTTGTTCAGTCCTGGTTTAGTCCTGGTTTAGTCCAGTTTTAGTCCTGTTTTAGTCCTGTTTCAGTCCTGGTTTAATTCTTGTTCAGTCCTGGTTTAGTCCTGTTTTAGTCCTGGTTTAATTCTTGTTCAGTCCTGGTTTATTTCTGTTTTAGTCCTGGTTTAGTCCAGTTTTAGTCCTGTTTTAGTCCTGTTTCAGTCCTGGTTTAATTCTTGTTCAGTCCTGGTTTAGTCCTGTTTTAGTCCTGGTTTAATTCTTGTTCAGTCCTGGTTTAGTCCTGTTTTAGTTCTGTTTCAGTCCTGGTTTAATTCTTGTTTAGTGCTGGTTTAATCCTGTTTTAGTCCTTGTTCAATCCTGGTTGAGTCCTGGTTGAGTCTTGGTTTAGTCCTGGGTTCAGTCCTGTTTCAGTCCTGGTTTAATTCTTGTTCATTCCTGGTTTAGTCCTTGTTCTGTCCTGGTTGAGTCCTGGTTGAGTCCTGGTTGAGTCCTGGTTTAATCCTGGTTCAGTCCGTATGCAGTGTAAAAGTTCCGCATCTCGATCGATATTTCTTCTGCTCAATAAATAAAGCCTGTGAAGTGACAACGTATTTTTGACAGTTGAGTCACGTCTGTGAATTCATTTTCGTACTGAAGAAAGCATAATCATACATTTTCATTTCATGATTGTAATTCTTGATGTCCTAACTTTTCAATTTGCATTCTGATGGATAAAATACACACATTATATTTTATGTACCACTGGACTCATTCGAGAGTTTACCAATATTTATTTTATGATCAACTACAGCCAAATATGCACGGATTTCCCAAATATGCATGGATTTCTATCCTATGCATGCAAATATTGTGAAAGTTTTCTTACTCCATAGTCTGCCACCTGCTTGACTCCACGTAGATGTTTTTTTCTGGAATTTTCTATTGTATAATTTAACCTTCTCTATGGACCTATAATACAATAAACACAAGATATATTTGTTTAATCGCTGTAGTAGTAAAAGTAGTAGTAGTCTTAATAGTAGTTGTTGTAGTAGTAGCAGTAGTAGCCCATGGGTTACTGGGATACTGCTGTTCATGCTGGGGGCGATTAAGAGGACTGCACAACGTCCTCTCGCATTCTCCCATGCGCTCATTGTAGCTATCGCAATAGGCCCTACGCCCTGCTGAGGCTCGGGTCTAAATATCTGAATAATAAATTGAAATTTCTAGTAAATAAACATTTTTGTAGGGTGCCAATTGGTCATCTCCCACGCGCTCTTTGACCACATCGTGCTGCTCTTCATCTTCCTCAACTGCATCACCATCGCCTTGGAACGACCAGGCATAAAGAAAGAGAGCCTGGTAAACCAATCAACCTGTTTTAGACCACAATTTTCCATACCATTTGAATGTTATTTTCAATGTAATGTTCTTTTAATTAAAACAAACTAAAATGACTTCAGGATCGGGTGTTCCTGAGCATCTCCAATTATGTATTCACTGTGAGCTTCCTAGCAGAGATGACCATTAAGGTAAACATTTTGTTCATTGATTTTATTCTAAATCATAGCAAGGTTTTAACACCAGTCCTAAGGAGTATTTGCAAGCTTTTTTTTTTTTTTTTTTCATTTTAGTTTTAATTGAATCAGAGCCGAAATTTGAATAATACTTTATCTATTATCTATGTTGTGGTGTTTGTATTTGTTGCGACATTTGCATTAAAAAAAGAGTCCCGCGGTCACTTTCGTTGCGGCTTTTATCATGTGTTGTGGCTTTTCGTTGTGGCTTATTGGCATTTGCATTTGTGTTGTTGTGTTTGTATATGTTGTAGCGTTTGTGTTTGTTATGAGCCCTCCCGGCTTCTGTAGTTTTCTCATCTAAAACATCCCCAGAGCTGCATTAGTTTCATTCACAAATGTTTAACACATAAACCCTGCAGATTTAGGCTGAGTTCTTTCCCTGTCTTGTGATGTCATGTGGTAATACAGGAAGTGCTCCACTGTGTTTTCAAACTACACACACCTTCATAAGAATAATTTGGATGAATTGCCCATGTCTACTGAAGAAAAGGTAAAAGGTAGCTTCTACTGCTTCATGACATCACGAGGTGGAACAGAGCATTTTGGAGGTATAGACAAATAATAAAGGGTTACTCAAGCATGTGTGAATAAAACAAAAGTCCTGGTATGCAATAAATAAAGCAACAGCTTTATAACATAGTAACACTCAATTTTGTGTAATTTATGTACCTTGCCTTATCTTAACTGCAGTACAAGAGCAGTATAGACCTACCTTCAGTCCAGCTGGAACATTGTGGACGGTCTTCTGGTGTCTCTGGTGGACATTCTGGTGACCCTGGCCCACCCTAGAGGAAACAAGATCCTGGGCATTCTCAGGGTGCTGCGGCTGCTCTGAACCCTGTGCCCACTCAAGTATGGCTTGGTACAGTTCTGGGTTGAAGAGGTCATGTGATGTAGTAATGCAAGGAACTCATATTTTAAAACTGCTCTTAAACTGTGGACCTGTTGATTTAGTAGTTGATGTTAATATCATAATTTAGCAGTGTCCAAATCAGAACCACTTGTCATTAGATTTTTTAAAGTCTCTAGAAATAATTACTAGAATTTCCCCCACACAAACTTCTTTCTACCTGAAGCAGAATCTAACATTTTGATTATATTATATAAGGTTCAAGTTTGTTAAGATGCTTATATAATCTTCCTGAGCACATAAAAGAAATACCAGCTTGAGGTCTGTGAATGTGAATGAATGCTTTATGTGAATTTAAACCACAAAATTATTATAGCTCAAAAATATAAATAAATAAATAAATAAATAAATAATGTGTATTTGGGCTCAGAACACTGCACTGTCTATAGTAAAAAAAAAACAACCCAAAAACAAATTAAACAAGCATGTAACAAAACATGGGCAGCACTTTTTTTTTTTTTCCAGTAAATAGGTAGAAAGCCCTGGTATTGAAAATACAAAGTGAAAAAAAAAATGAACAAGAATATATTAATAACTCATGTTGAAAAATGAAATCAATCAACAACCAGAACAGTTATTTGCCAGTTAAATGTTTAGTTGACTTTCATTGTGATGTTTGGAAGAAAGCATCAGAGTCCTAGATCTTCTGGACTCTCTCTGGCCTCCTTGTCCGGTTAGTGAAGTTGGTTTTCATCTCTCCTAACATCTGCACATCCATCTCCAGGGCTCCTTCAGTCTCTTCAGACTCGGAATCCTGAAGTTCTTTCAGTGCTGTTGGTTGGACGTCATCTAGCTGTCAAATCAGTTGTTAGGTTTTGATCCAATGTGGTTAATTTGGTTTTCTAATAATTTATTCTAACATATTCTTTACTTCAGACTAAAGTTTAGTTTGTCCTTACCCACAACCAAGGATTTCACTACATTATGGACTTTAGCTCACTATGTTAAATCGCTTGTCTTTGGTACAGATGTTCCGGGTTAAGACCCCGATTTGTCATTTACATATTTATTTTGTTCTTTCTTCCTTTTTGTGTGTAAACAAAATAATTTCTTAAAACTCAATGTTTTTTTTATTAGTTTACGTGATTTTTATGTATTTGTAAAAAAAAAAAAAAAAAAAAGCAACTTATTAACCCACGTATTTCGCCCTACACAACCGCAAAAACAGCAACTTAAAGATGCGCATTTTTTTAGAATGCATTGAAAGTGAATGAGGGCGGCATTATTATTATTAACCCTTTATTACTACCGCTCCAAACGTGTTAATGACACAAAACACAACTACAACTATGTTTTTAATGAGGTAACAACTTTATAACACATCTTAAAGCTCACAAGAGTAATACAGGACCTCTAAAAGTAGCCCACATCGAGACTTGTTTTTTGCCTCTAGCTTTAGTGTAATCCAGTGGTATAATTCTGTCCAGTTATATATATAAGATGTACCATTTCCCTGTACTTCCTGTGAGCAATTATTCTATCGTTAAACTGTCCTACTTCCTGCTCCATTATCCACAAATGGCCTGTTTCTGTCTAACCGGAGTCACTCAGGGTCTACCCCTGAGGCTAAAGGCTAACACCACACACAACCCACCATCATTATATTATTACATGACAGTACACTACAGTACCATCATGTTTAACACAAGGCAAGACAAGTTTATTTGTATGGCACAATTTATATTAGACAAAGTTCAAAATGCTTTACAGAATAAGAAAGACATTAAAATCACAATACAGACAAATCAAAACATAAATAATCATCACAAAATTAACATTAAAAGAGAAGAGTGCAGAAGAAAAACCTTTCAGTCATATGCACAGCTAAACAAAGCCTGGATTTAAACATTGTCAAAGTAGAGACCTATGTCACATGTTTTTTTGATGTATTTAGATGTTTTCTCAGCACACTCACTGAGGGCAGTTATGACATTTTCCCATTCTATAATTATAGTAATATAGTATCAAATAGTAAAAGTAATCAAAAAAAAAGTTTAAGTTTTTAATTAATACATTACTAATTCCTGTTTTTCAGCAGTTTTATTATTATAGTCATTTATTTACCAAGGACACTTCTTTGAAATCCAATCTCTGACCTTTGAATCTAGTAACTCACTCTTCTCTCAAGGTCCTAACAACTAATTTCTCGTTCAGGATTAAATTGGGCTAGTGCTGTTTGCCATAGGATTTAACAGTCTGATTTAAATACTTGAGCTGATACATGGCACGCTACAATGGTAAGTAACTGGCATTGGCACAGAAAGAGGTATTTTCGTGACTGATTTAGAATTATTTAAATGTATTTTCAGGGCAGAGTGAGTTTGGACTGGTGGTGCTGCTGCTGGGACCGAAGCTGAGTGGTAAAAGCTCAGTTGGAAATGTTATTTTAGGAAGACAAATTTTTGGCAACACAGAGTACAGCAGCAAAGCAACAGGTTTCAGACATGGAAAACAGGTTTGAAATGACACATTATCACTTGAGTCATCATTAGGACTGGAACCTGGTTGAGCTGTATTTAAAACAATCAAAAAAAGGGTCAATTAGTACTACGTTGGACTAAACAAATGGTAAAAAAGGGTTTATAGCAAAAGTTACAATGATTTCGACAAGGTAAGATAATAGATTTATTTGCATGTTATATTATATACAAATATATATATATGTATATTACTTAATTCATGATATTTCTGACTGTTTTCAAGACGGCTGAAATAAGAAAACAAAGTCATTCCTTAAGAAAAAATGTGCCACAGTTATAATCAGGGTAGATTTAAATTTTGATTCAGTAAATATGAAACAGTAGTATTGAAATAAGAGCTAAATTGTTCAAATGCATTTATTTATTGACCATTTATACATTTATTATTATTATTTTGTCTTTTCATTCAATTATGCAGTTTATAGATCTTATATTACGCTAAATTGACTCTTGTAAGTTTTAAGTCATGTTATAATACTGTTACGTAAAAAAAAAAAAAAAACACCCCGAGTTGTGTTCAATCACACATGCTTGAGTGACCTTTCTTATTAGTCTGTCTACATCTCCAAAGCTCCACCTAGTGATGTCGTGAAGTGGTAGTTTTCACGTTAACAGCAACCTTTTAGCTTTTGTTTACTGAAATTATTCTAGTGAAGGTGTGGAGTTCAAAAGCATAGCGGAGCACTTCCTGTATTGCATGACATCACAAGGTGGAACAGGGTGTTTTTTGTTTGAGAGACGAACTCAGGACAGTTTGAATGAAAGTGAAATAAACACAACTCCAGACATGTTTTTGATAAGGAAACAACATTGTAACATAGATCATAAAATAGCATAATATGAGCCCTTCACAGATCTTTTTATTACTGTTGTTATCTATATGGCAACTGATAACTCACATAAAAGATTTCTCATAGATTTCAATGTAGTGTATTAAAAAGCCATGCAAGTAGGCCTGCTAAACAAAATTATACCTGCTCAACAGATCTCAGTGACCTGATCTGTTCCTGTAGGTGGCAGTAGTGGACAGTCCAGGTTGGTTGTCCATCTTGCCCTTCTCAGAGCGAGTGTCCCAGGAGCTGCAGAGAAGCCTGTCTCTGTGTGGACATCAGCCTGATGTGGTCCTCCTGGTCCTGTCCGTTCTGTCCCCCATAGGCCCCATACAGAGGGACGTCATGGAGAGCCATCTGAGGAGACTGCACTTCAACATATGGGAGAGGGCGATTATTATCTTCACTCACACAGAAGGTTTAGGTAATGTGTTACATTAGAATAGTCAAGCAAATCAATCTTGGGAGATCAGTTTAAAAGTATGTAAAATTTAGATTTCATAAACAGACCTATCTGTGTTCCCAGATACATTGTAAATATAGATTTTACTGGTAACTATTCTAATGCTAATTTAATCTTAATTGCAGTGTCAAGTCAATGCTGAAATCCAGTTAGTTAAACTCTAAAAGGATTCACTGACCTGAATCGTTGTTATATAAACCCAAGTATTTATAATTTTTGTTGTACATTTAAATATTTTAAACAGGACAACTCACCATCCAAGACCACATCAGGCGAGCGGGCAGATCTCTGCAGTGTCTTTTGGATCACTGTGGAAACCGTTACCATGTCGTTCAAACTCACCATCGCTACGGTACACCCCAGTCTGAGGTCCAACAGTTGTTTATGAAGATGCAGAGGGTCATTGAAACCACCAGACACCCGGTACAGGGATATGTGAACTGGGGCATGGACAGGAGGCTGGAGAGGAGCATGCAGGGAAACCAAGAGCAGACTGAGATGAGACGCAGGCCAAATCTAAGAAATGATTATCATTTGAGAGATGGTGGTACAGATTTAAGTCTTGAACCAAGACTATGGAGGTCTGCTGCACCACGGCAACTGCCCAGAGGTAGATTGTTTTTAGATTGTAGAACTGTGTTTCTCAAACTGTGGTATGCAGGTCCTGTGTCAGTATAGTCTTGAATTGGATACCTTTTATGAATACTTAAAAAATGCATTAAAGCTATGTCTTTTGCTAGATTAGAACTGGCTTTTGCCCAGTTTAAGTCTAATTTAGCTGAGCAAGCCGGAATGTTACTTGGGAAACCAAATATTTTACAAGGTGGTCAGCTATTTGGTGTGAAAAGTTAAACTACTACTCACTATTTAACACAAAAATCTACAATGTGGCCTATTGCTAGTGGCTTTAATATGGCAGAAGTAAAGATTATTTTTTCTTAAAGTTAATTAATTTATATCTAGCTATTTTTTTATATCTGTTTTATGGTTATAATGATATTGTAATTACTCACATTCAAGAACAACATTGGTTAAAAAGTACTGTCATCTTTAGACCACTGGCAATGAATCACTTGATGTATGTTCTGATTTATCCTCTATCTGTCCTGCAGTATTTTCATCACGTCAGTCAACTTCAAAGCCTCCTCTCAGCATTATTCTTCTCGGTCAAAGGAAATCAGGGAAGAGCTCAGTTGGAAACTGTGTTTTGGACAAAAAACAATTCAAAACTGACACCAAAACATCCTGGAGCACCGTGGGACAGGGACTAGTGTCTGGGAGCTCTGTAACTGTAGTGGACACGCCTGGATGGAGTCTATATGGACAAGCCAAGTCTGAAAAAGTGATAAAAGAAATTCAACAAAGCAGGTCATTATGTTCATTTGGCAGTAAATGTGTGTTTTTGCTAGTCATACCGATAGACTCATTCACAGAAAAGCACAGGGCCAAAGTGGAGAAGTACCTTGGTGTTTTGGGGGACGATATTTGGGGCAAGATGTTGGTTTTGTTTACATTTGGAGATGATCTCAAAGGAAAGTCAATTGAGAAATATATAACTAAACAAGGACCATCTCTGCAGTGGGTGATGGAGAGATGTGGATACAGGCACCAAGTCATTGAAACAAGTGTAAGATGTGAAGATCAACGTGAACAACTGATGGAGAAGATCTGGGGAATAAGATCTGAAGATTGGCGGTGCAATTCCAGCTCCCACAGATGAATGCTGTTATTGTGTTCTTTGGCAAGACACTTGCCCTCAGTGTCTGCATACACTGGTGTATGAATGTGTGTGTAAATGAGTGGCTGGTTCCTTGATGTAAAGGGCTTTGAGTGCCTTAAAGCTGGAAAAGTGTTATATAAAAATGTGAGAACTATTATTGATTGTAGACTTATATATATTTATATAATTGCTAATTTACCAGAACGTGCATGTTGCATAAAAACGCTAGGCCTGTTTTGATTTGTGTGGTTTGATTTGTTAAAGGCAACTTTTCAGGTTTGGGGTATGCTACCTGTTTGTCTCTATGGAGATGTTACTGCATTGCCTAGAATGTTTCAAAGTATGTAATCTTAAACTTATATCTATCTTGCAATGATTTAATAACAGGTGTTTTATTGCTTATTGTTTACACCTTGAAAAACTACGAGTGGAGTTGCTGCTCTACAGATCTTACCCGTAACTTGGCCTGGTCTTGTCACCTGTTTTTCTCTGTTTTACATCTCCATGGAGACAAGCAGATGGCAGATTCTCTGTATAAAAAGTTACATAGTGCACCATTAATGAAGGAAATATATTAGTAGGCTTTTGCATAATAAGACTAAAATAGTAAATGAATGCAGAAGTCTTGTAAAGAAGCCTTGTCTACTTTGCCAAAAGTGAGGGTCTTCTAAGGTCATGCCCTCCTCTCATTGGGTCATTTTATTTTCGTCATCAACAAAAATAGGAAGTAGCATGCGGCTAATATGGCTAGCCCTCGCATGAAGCTAAATTAACCTTAGCTGCTTATTCCGCTGCAGTGGAGGATTAAAGGCGTGTGAAATGCTGGTCTGTGCTCTGGTCTGCGGTGCTGTAGTGTTCCCTGGACTTTTCATTAGTTTTAAGGCGGTTTTGAGGAGACTGTTCCCGAAATGGACCGACGCAGACGTGGTTTGTGTCAGCGAGAGGTCAGTGCAGCTTGTGAATTAATGTCATAGAATCTAAGATTAATGTGGGTCAGCAAATGTTTATTATAAACGCTTTAAAATTATGTAAAAAAAAAAAAAAACTAAATAAAAATAAAATAGCAGATTTACGGTACGTAATGTTTAATTCATTAATTACTTTAATTACTTTGATTATTAACTTGGTACATAGAAATATTTATCACAACCTATATTACAATATATTACAACATTTGATCCCTGCCAATAGTAAAAGAGGAACACATTGCCATTTGTTTAGGTAAAATGCAGAAAGCTACTTAAAAATAACATGAGTCACATTTTCTTTGAGTTTTGGTTAGTCATGAATGGGCCGAGTGCATAACACTTTTCCTTAATTACGCATTCGATTAACAATTTTATTATTATCAACCACCACAACCCAGGAGTGTTCCAGTTTTTTTTTTTGAAAGTCCTGTATGAACACTACTAACAAAATCCCATCATGTAAGAAAAAAGAAAATGAAAAACTAGATCAAAACAAAGATTTTAACCTCGCTGTTAACAGTAAATAATTTCTGCTTTTTGATAACGTTCTATTACCTTATTATAATGTCTTTTTTATATTCTTTTTTCCTTAGATTGGTGTCTGCTGTCCATGGATCTCTGGCCACAGCTGCAGGGTCTATTGTTGTTCTGTCCTGCAAAGATGTTATGAACGACAAGTAAGTATGTAAAAAGAGAAACGTTGCTTAACTGCTTTGAGTAGAATGTAGGGACTAGCTTCATTTAAAACAGTGAAATTTACAGACAGTGGAAAGCTTTTCACCTTCACAGGTGAGACATTTCAGTTTGTAACCATGTATAAGCACAATAAGCAACTTGAAGCCATGTGTTATGCAGTCTCTACGAGACAGCTTTCAAAGTCTTGCATCTAAAATGTATTACAGAAATACAGTAAATTGCTCACTATTTAAATAAAATTATGAACTAGTCTTTAACTTCATGAATGCATGATAGAGAGAGAGCAACTGATGCTTTATTGATCCTGAAGGAAATTCAGTAATATAATAATAGAATAATAATATAGAATAATAAATTATTATGTATAATTCATTTTCATCCATCTGTTTTTTTATAGCCACTGGTTGGTCAATGCTTTTGTAGTCTTTGGAGTTCCTTACATGACCTTTGACCTCTATGCCATGTACCTGAGCCACTTCCACTCACAGAAGAGCAGGGGTCATATCAAAGATCACTCCCTTCAAACCGTCAGTGCTTTTCTTCACAAAGACTGGATGTTGGTTCTACATCACGTGGCGTTGCTGTCTATTTTCTTTCCTATAACTGTGGTACGACCAAAATATAAATATAAATCTTAATGTTGTTTAAAGGGCACATCTAGTGATATTTTGTGTTTGTAGTTTTTCAGGAGAGGACTGGGTGACTTTTTCATCGGCTGCTTTTTCATCACAGAGTTCAGCAGTCCATTTATCTCCATTGGGAAAATACTCATCCAGGTAAACTGGTTTAGCTTGTAGTGCAGTTACTTAATAGAACAACTGAGATGTACTAAAGAGGTATACTGCACAAAAATACATTATCGTAATAAATTCACTATAGTTTACTAGTATTGATTAGGTGGAATAGAAAGGGACAATATGGGAAAACATTGTTATTACAACTATCAGAATCCATTTAAAGGTGCATTTGTAAAGGGTATACCACTTACTTGAAGATGTTGCTCTGCCTGAAATGTTCCTCATTGTGACATTTAACATTTTTAACTACTGTTATTTAATTATGGGTGTTTTATTACTTATAAAACATGTATTCTTCTCCTCCCCTCTTGTCCAGTCTCTCCACTGATCTGATCTGTAACTGGCCTGTAATACTTGCTCGTCTAGATTACAGTGATAAATTTAAAGCCATACTATGGAGCATTCAAGGCAAAGCAAGAATATCTTCTAGTTAGGCCTGGTCACAAACCCTCACCAGAAAAGTTACAGGGCATCTTTAATTTTGCTTATTCCTATTAGATATAAAATAAAATACCAAAAGTTAAAAGTTAAAGTTGTATTTCAGCTATTAACTTCTCTACTGCTCTTTTGTTATAAAATTGATAAAGCTGTATTCCTTTATACCTACTCCATACTCCATACTACTGTCTCTTTTTCAGCTTGGCCTGGATGACACCAATCTGCACCGTCTCAATGGACTCGCTGTTCTTCTGACGTTCTTCACCTGTCGGATCCTCATATTTCCCTTCATGTATTGGACCTACGGACAGCAGTTTGGGATTCCTCTGTACAAAGTGCCTTTTCATTTACCGCTGCACTGTAACCTGGGAAATCTAATCATCCTGCCTCCCCAGATTTACTGGTTTATCCTCCTGATGAAGAAAGCAAAGAGACTGTATCTACGGCAAAAGAAATTGACAGAGAAGGATGAAAAAGAGAAACAAAGGACAGACTAAGAACACTTGGACTTTTAAACATTTTTGCATTATATTATGTAGTTTGAGTCATGCTGATGGGAAATGTTTTTATTTTACAATTCTGTTGTATAAGCCTTTTAACTCTGCACTGCTGTTTAGTGGTTACCCTTACAATATGAATACATATTGTAAAATAAGAATTAGTAATGTTTTACAAAAGAATACTTCATATAAAAACATTTGACTCAAATATCAGTCTGTAATCTGAACTATTTTGTGTTTTTAACCTTAAATATGAACACATTTCACAGTGCTGTATGCATTGTGATCATGTCTTATAATTATGGGGTCTTAGTGTCCTGTAGTTTGACAAAACAACCACTGTGCATGCCTAGAAGTTCAGATACAACACTAGTAAAATGTTTGCAGTAGCCCTGCAGTCCCTGGAGTCCTTTTCATGAAGCCGTCCACAACCAATCCAATGTCAGTAAAAGCATGTGGTCTGGAGAGATGAGACTTTGCAGTAAGAAATTTAACACTTTTTGAGAGTCTGTATTATCAAAGCTTGGGACATTAATACTGAAAGTTTTTTACAAGTTGCTATGGTTACTGTTACTACTTATCAAATTAAAAATTGTAACCGAACAATAAATTAATATTTCTGATGTCATATCACCCAGCCCTTAGTGGCACTCATTCACTTAAAATTGTGTCCAATGAAGAAAAGAAATACTTAATCTCTTAAATAATGAACATTTGTGCAAGACATAAATCAACCTTTTTACTTGAGATTTACAATAAGTTTGCCTATTGAGTGGATAAACAAGAATGCATAATATTCAGCAGTTGCACAAGTTATTTTATTATTACACATACAGACTGCAACCTGACAAAATACTGAATGCAACAATAAATCAAGCAAGTTTAAATTCACATTTTAAGCTGCCGAGACGAGTTGTGAAATCTTCAGCTGGAGTACAGACTTCATCTCCTCGTTCTGGAGGTTTTCTGTGATCGTGGTGAAAAAGTGCCGTGTGTTGTCGGACTCCAAAGCACTACAGCTCCATGGAAATGCCCCCATCACGGCTGCATAGTGACTTAGGAGCTCCAGACTGGACAGGAACAACTGCTCACACTGGCCCCCTGGTAACATCACCTGAGAAGGGAGAAATATATGAGTGACTGTACATAAAGCACTATGATGTCTAACATGCAACCAAATATAAGAATTCCTTCCTCATTAAAATTGGAACTACAATCTCTACTGAACCTGCTTATAGAGGACGTTTTCCTCATTCATTTGATGGGCAGGCCATGTGAAAGCTCAGAATACCTCCAAAATACACTCCCTGAGCTGCAGAGGCTGTACTAGCACTGATCCAAGATTGTCTGCAGGTGTTGCAGGTAGTGAGGATTCAGAGCAGTGAGATTTTAGTCACTGGATGTGTTAAACCAAATGAGAGACTCAAAGCGATAGATTCTGCTTTCTGAGTGGATAGTATACATCTACAACACGGCCATCATGTCCAATGTTTCTGTCATTAATAGAAATCAATATTACAATATTGATGAGTATTACTGTATTATTATTATTATTATCATCATTGGTTTACCTGCACATGCTGCACATGACAGTAGATCTGGCTGAGCACAAACAGCACCTCCTGACTCGGGATGCTCTCCCTTTCCTCCGTTTTGCACTGGTCATTCTCAGAGTCTTTAACTAAAGGAGTAGAGCCTGTAGCCGTTTGTGACAGGGGCAGTTTAGTTTTAAGTGAGCCTATCATTTCCCTCACAGAGTGTGCATATAGCGCCCCCACATGATCCCAGCCGTCCCGAGACAGCCAATCGGAACAGCTGGATCCACAGAGCAACTGGAAGACCCTTAGGAGTAGTACAGAGAGGCGCAGGTCACATGCAAAACTTCTCAGATCCAAAAGAGGCAGGTAATCGCAGTATTCCAGGGAGAAGGGCACATGGAGGCGTCCAGAGTCGATTAGAGCACGAAGAGCCCTTAAGAGCAGAGACCTGAAAGACAATTGCAGAGTAATTAAGTAGGAATAGACAACAAAAAACTGTATTTCTACTATATTCTGAAGAAACAGTAACTTAATATGCTCAATTTTGTCATAATGAGTAGATACTACATTTATAAATTAAAATGGTCAAGAAATGTCCCAAGAATTTCAAAATCTCTCTTTCAATAAAATTAAATTAGAACAAACAAACAAAAAATAAATCTTAAGCAGTGTGCAATGTAGACAATTTGATCAACAACTGATATGAAAAAAGGGGGGAAATGAGCAGAGACCATTGGGGCTGGGAGCAGCAGGGAAGGGTTTGTGTTAGCGCCACCATCAGGCCTTTGCTGAACATGCTGAGGTGATCTGGGTTGCTCTGGTCCAAACTCAGATGAGACAGCATAGTAGACTGAAGAGACTCTGAGATACAGCAGCACTCAGTCCAAGCCAGAAGACCAGTGCCAGGACCATACTGGGGCGAGTCCAGTCCAGACCACTCCTACAGCAATAAACAAAAGAAAAAGAAAATATGCTTATTATACTGACTTAATCATTGTAAAAGTCTTAAAATTAAAAAGTTAAAGTAAGGATCTAGAATATTTGGTAGAGGCTCTGTGTTGTTTTAAGTACAATAGAAATTTTGTATTGGAATTATTTTTGAAAAGTTGGATAGGAAGCATTTTTATTCCATTCTGTCATTCTATTTCATTCAGCCAAACCATGAATAAACAATGGCACCAAATCTGTTTTACTGTATGTTGTTGTCTCAGTGTATTTTCTATAGTTAAAATGGGCAGGACAATATTGATGCAACACAACAAAATCAAATTGTTATATTTGAACTTTTTTTTAGTTTTTTTTTTTTTCAAATCAAATCAAACTATTCAGTGAAAATGTCACAGTGAAATGATAAAACCTTAAGATTTATACTTTTTCAGTAACATTTGATGATTTAACTGTCTGTTTGAATGGGTGAATGAATGCTGTACACTCAGGGCATGTGTTTTTTATACTGTGAATAGCAAATAAACTGAACTGATTAGTAGTATGTAATTAGTATCTTGTAGTTCAAACGTCTCACCTGCTCTGGGAGCTCACAGACGGCGAACAGAGACGCAGGGACTTCGTTTTTGAAGTGATCGCCCCACACAGGCTTCAGGAGGAATCGCACCGTCCAGTCCAGCTCTTCCGTTTTATTGTAGAGCCAAAAGAGAGCTCTGGACCAGGTGTCAGGGTCTTCTGCCACCTCTGCCCCCACAACTTGCCCCAGGGCAGAGAGGACAGTCACCAGTAACTCCTGAGTCTCCATGGACCACACTGGGACTCTGCTCCGCTGTGTGGGCTGCTCCCATCTCCTAATAAAAGGTAAATAGTAAATCACATTCCCAAATGCAAAATCAGAATGCATAAAACATTTTTTAATATGTGTATGAGTTATATTATCCACAGTGCCTTTGTGTCAGAAAGCTATATTCATTACTTTAAGAATAATGAGTGACTTACTGCCGTTAACATGACAATTACCTATGCCAAACAAAATACATCTTTTGAAAGGTTTGTGTTTCAAAATGGTGGTAAGACATCATGACAAAATTGTAGTTTCTAAATGGTATTTGGTTCATCTAGTATTTCTTATAAACTACTATAGTCATTGTGATAGTTGGTGAGCCCTACCTAAGACTGTGATTGTGAAGCTGGGCCAGCACATACAGCAAAGGAAAAGGGGAACAGAGCATCACCCAGTGAGGAGCACCATCCTGATGGTCCAGAGAAAGTGCGCTGTGGAGCAGCTGCAGGCTCAGTTCAAGGTCCACAGAACATACAGCTACAGTGGAGGGAAGAATTTTACATGCTTAAATTAAATTGTATAAATAACCAAAATATTTCATGTTCAAAATGTTCATTAATTGCTATTTCTGCACTTACACACTGAAATAAAAATAAAAAAATTAAGGGTTTGGGGCACCATCTACTGGTAAATACACAATACAGCAGAGTGTAGATTTTTAAATATTACAAAAAGCAGGACCCCTTTCTTTCCATTTGGCACAGAGGGCTACAGCAAACCATTATCACCATTGGATTAATATGTTTTATTTGATTCCTGAATTAGTTTATGCTTATTTCAATAATTATTTCAGTGCTATTGGTCTGTATTTTTATGCGTGACAGATTACTTTAGTATAAACTTCACAAAACACCATAAAATAAATATTATTCTCACCCAGATTTGGCAGGACGAACGTACAGACCACCTTGTGAGGCAGTAGGAAGCCCTCTCCTCCTCTCTCTCCTTCAGCCATCATTACAGGCTTCATCAGCAATGACAGAAACTTGATCAACTGCTCCTTCTCATCCTGGGACATTTGCTTTGTTTTAATAATGTCCTTAACACAACTACATAGAAGATCATTTCCTTCTCCATCCTGGTTTGATTCAGATGTCCTCCCAGACAGACCAGGCAGCTGCTGTAGCATTTTTGCCATTATGGTGAAAGCACCTTTGTTGAAAATAGCTGAATTACACATCGCTCTTACTGCTGCCTCTGGGTTTTGAAAGGCAACTCGGGCGACCAATGAAACGGCTGTATTCAGGTTAGAAGATGCTGAAGGCCCGCCCCCTCCTTGGATGATGCAGTTAAATGCCATGTTAAGCTCTTGTTCAAAGCTTGTGGTTACAGTTAAAGGCATGCTGCTACCAAAAAATCCTCTTTTAGATATTCCCATAACTTCAGCCAGTACTTTGTTTTTATGATCAAGAGATAGAGCAGAGAAGATGTCTGCTGTTACCTTCATAAGCTTCCTATAGTTGCTCACATCAACAGAACCAGAGCTGAATTTACCCACAATGCTTTTGGTTAGTTTGATGAGAGCGGTTTGTTCTCTGAAAGCCAACTGGTTCTTTTCCAGGAAGTCAATGTAGGTTTCATTACAAGTTGTCCAGCTCGTCTCACTAGCAAAAAGCAAGGCAAAGTTTCGGTAGTCATCCATTTTATGTGATATTATAGTTTTTGTGATTTCTGCACAAAAATCATCAGGGACCTCAACATTTTTGTGGGTCATCCAGTTCTTCTGTTCAAAAATCGAACAAAGAACTGTATCTTTACATCTTTTTGTCTTCTCAAATGCTGCAAAAACATTCTGAAGACCGAGTTTCGATTTAAACACACAGTAACTTATACTGGATTTGTCCTCCACTTGCAGAAGACCATTGCAGTTCCAATTATAGGCAACATCTACTATCACTTGTAAGGCATCTTCAAATTTCAAAAGCAGAGGCTTGAACCTGCATAGCCCTTGGATTGTGTTCAAATCTTTTAATGAGTCTGCAATCATTTTTGGCCCTAGTTTTTTATTATTCTTTTCTTTGATGGTTGCCATTTCTGTCAAGATTTCTAGCTTTTCTTTAGTTGAAATTACTGGTCCAACATCACAAAGAAAGGCTGTAAAAAACACATTTATGGAAACAGAGAGAGCTTTAAAAATAAGTTCAGGTTGGGTTATTTGGTCACTTAAGTTTCTAAATGTGCAAAAGAGTATGTTTACAAGGTCAGGACCTGATGTGCACAAGTCAGGGGAGTCTAGTTTTAATCTTTTAGCTGGCTGTTTTAATGTGTTTGATGACATGCGTGCAACTTCCTGTGTAAACATCTCCTCTGTGTTATCTTTATGGACATCTTTGCAACTCCACAACTCCCACCAAACATCAAAGAAAAAATGTATATCTTTGTCTCGTACATGGCTACTACTAATGTGGCTGACAAGTTTTTCAATTTCAGAGCATAACTGCAATGGAGGGAGACACAACAGTAGACGTGTGTAGATATTTAAAGATTTTGTTGACCTGACTAGCTCCAAAAAAACAACCCGGTTCAACTCAGGCAGGCCATTATGTGAAGCGAAAAGTGGACTTTCTTTCCATGTAACTTCAATGCTCTCTTCCTCTTCAGTGCTGAGCAGTTTTAGCCACACAGCGCAAATCAATGTCTTCTTTACATCTTCTGTATCATTTTTGTGTTGGTTTACTTCTCTAATAGCTTCCAAAATTGGATCACAAACTTTGTCCCAATCAGCTTTCTGTAGAGAGGATAGTGGAGTGATCCTATTGGCCGAAAGGAAGGCTCCTTGGATTACAGCAAAGTCTGGAACATTACAAGAATGAATGGATATTATGTTTAAAATAGATACTAAGAAATGCAACAATTGAACTTTTTATACACTGAGATAAAACATAAAAATATAAAACGAGATACCACAGCAGCTGCACAGTAAGTAACTAGTTTGTGAAATTCTTTCCTTTAACAGTTCTGAATGAAAACTTGGAGGACGTATGTAGCTCAATAACTAAACACACAGGTATCTCGATTTATTATATATTTGGTCATATTTGGCCAAGTACCCTACCTATAACCAATAGTCAGTACTCTGAATATATCACTAATAATATTTATTTTTGGATGAAGCAGCACAAACCTAGTATTATCACGGAAGACTACGTAATGTTAAATCTTTTTTTTTTTACTTTTACAACAGATGCTACTGTGCGTTAGCTGTGGTTTCTTATTAACAAGTTTAATAACAAAACTCAAAATCCAACGTACCTTTGTCCATTCTTGTTGTAATCAAGACTATATATATTTTTTACATTGTTGCTATACTTCACCGTATATTTAACTCATTTCGGATAACACAAAAGCATCTTATTTGAGTACGTTGTGCACACAAGTTTTGCAGCATGTCTAAAGAGTGCAGCTTGTGCAGTTCACTTCCGGTTCATATTTGACGTTTTCCACAGCGCCTCCTCAGGTAAACTTAAGCACTGCAGTTTCCTTACGCATGCACGGTACTATAGCTTATGCCAAAATGAAAGTGAAAGACACCAAGCTGGTTTGTTCCCAACTGCAAGAAAGTCCTCTGACTTACCAATGAAGAAACATGCACTTCATTTTAAAGATATTAGTTTATTCCAGTGTACTTACCGGTGAGTTGTATTATTTGTTAGACTTTTAGGGTGTGGTTATTGCAGTAGTTGCCTGGTTGCTGTGCTGTTTACAAGTTCAATGAATGTCTGCGTCAGGTTGAAACTATAATTACACCTATTATTATGCAACTTTCAAGAATTTGTTATTTCTTCCTTGTGTCTATTTTTAAAGTAAACAATCTGTAGGCGTTTAGGCTATTCTATACACTATTAATGAGGCTACTCAGTCTGATCAGCTACTGTAACCATGCAGGTTTTGTTGTCTACAATCTTTATGAACTAGTCTACAGTTTATTTCATTGATTTACCAAATATCAATCTTACTGTTTAGCAAGACATAATCAAATGTACACTTAATAATGCATTAAGATTGTGTAAAATATACTGAGCTAAAACATACAGCTGGAAATCCCCTTGAAACCCAAAGTGCAACTAATTGTGTGTTTTTTGCAGGCGTGCTCCAGGCCTATCAAATTCCATGGCTGCCATGTACCTTCATAGATGAACATGTATTTTACAATAGTGAGGGGTATGTGGAGACGAAGCACAACAATAGAGAAGCAATGATGCAGTTTGGCCACAAGGGGGACACTCCAGTCAACCCCAATGCTGTCACTTTCCTCATCACTTGTAAGTTTTAGACCAGTAAATCCAAAAAAGACTATGAGAGTGTGTGAAGATGTAAATGTCATAGTAAAGAAATTAAATATATTTACAAAACCATAATGCGTAGAAACCATCATATTGACACAGTTTATTATAGCTGATTTGGAGGTAAACAGACCAGATGGAGATCGTTTGGACAGCTCTGAGGAAGGGCTTTTTTAGCTGGCAGGGTTAAAAGATGGGTCAAATGCAAAGGAAAAAAATCTCTACGTGTACAAGAAAGTTTACCTTAATAAGATTAGAAATATTTAGGTTTAGATATAGTAATAATGAAGTAGTAATTAAGTAGTAATTATTTATAGAGCACCTTTTATGTCACAAAATACAGCAACAATGCAGGGCAAGTTAAACATACAACATAAAAAAACTCAGCTACGAAGAGCTTATCTAAATATAAATGTCTTTGAAGCAGTCCACAGAGTCTGTCACACAGAGGGCCAGGGTCAGAGTGTTCCAGTGTGTGGGGGCAACAGCCTGAAAGGATTATGTTTTAAAGCCTTTATAGGCAGATAGGCCTGTCACTATAATTACTTTACTGACCATTCGTTCAGTATAAGATCTGTAAAATTTCTTTGGAAAAGTGGGGAGATAGTGAGTATTCTTGTTGTAATTTTGAGCTGTAGGGATATGAGTAACTAATTTCTATGGCAAATGATTGGTTTATTCACCTATTTAATTGTTTCAGCTCACGCCTTTTAATGAGATTATCAATTTAAGAATGGGTTACAAGGATTATCTTGTATTATTGTTTCTGTATCTGTGGCAGAGTAGTAATACTTTCAATATATCAAATCAATATATATCAATATAATCTCTGTAACTATATATCAGCTTGAAAATGTGTTATTGTGACAGGCCTACAGGCATATGATTCATTGGTAATATTTTTGCTGATGCGCTACGTTTTGTTGTAGCTTCAAAGATAGATGTCCGTCGCTTCTTTGAGGGCTCGGAGGTCGACCAGTTGTCCTGTGAGCTACAGCGGTACAGCACAGAAGGGATCCACATGCGCTGGCCTGTACGAGGGGAGCATGAGTACAATCGCTGGTTCACCTCAAAGATCACAGACACCAAAACTCAGCTCACTCTCCTCAGCTTCATCAGACAGTCCACCGCCAAGCCCCCCACCGGAGAACATGACTATAGGAACTGGACCGCCATACAGGACAGAGAGATACTCACCACAACAGGTAACGCAAGACCAGGAATTACAGCCTTCAATATGATGAGTGATACATAAAGTCTTCAGTTCCTCTAGCTATTGTCTATGTTTAATGTTAAGGTTAATTTTAGTCCCTTTTTGTCCTCAGGGTAAGTCCTTGTCTAGAGCTACTTTAGTTTTTGTGGTCCTAGTTTAAACATAATTTATAGTCCCGTTTAAATCTGGTGAAACTTGAAAAGTCAAAAATGTCATAGGCGGTTCTTTACGTCAGTCTGTACATCATATGGTGGGCGATATTTCCAGAAAGTAATCTCTTGTTGATATCATTTGGAGGTAGTGTCACAATAATAATAATCAGACAAAAGTGAACTGTTAATTTACCCACAAAAAAGTAACTCAGTCATTTACTACCCTTCTTTTGATGAAGTTATAAAATGCAAAGTCTAGGTAAAGGAAGAAGACAATGCAAATTACCTTGTTTAATAGCAGTTGGAAAACAAAACTCAAGATGCCAACGCCACAAAACCTCAAAAATACTCTTTGATATAATTCTCTATAGCTGTGATGGTGATGAAGACTCAGACCCCCAAAATTAAAGCCACACTGGGATCCACGCAGAAACTGGACTGTCATTTTGCTATTGACCACAAGGCGGCAAACATAGTGGTGGAGTGGCACAAACGTGGTGAGAAAACCACTCTGTTCAGTCACAACGGACAGAGCGGTGTCAACCAGGGGTCAGGGGTCACTCTGAAGAAACTGTCAACGGGAGACGCCTCGTACACGGTCCCCTTCAGTAAAATGAGCAGTGAGGGTGTGTACATGTGCTCCGTGTCTGTGCTGCCACTGCACTGGAGTCTAGAGATCAGTCTGCAAATCGAAGGTGAGACAGTCTTCATTTTTATATTATTGAATCACATTTGAATCCTCCCTGTTCATTTTTTTATGCTGGATGCCCTTCCTGTCACAATCAGCCACATTACTAAGATTTGAGTTGGCAATGGGGAAACTGCATGTGCTCAAACGCTCTCTACTTCCAACTTTACTGTACCACACTCACCATAGAGATGTTATTCTGTTATTTGGCTGGAGTGTTTCAAAGTATGGCATTAAACCCACATTTATTTATAATTACAAGTTTTTTTATTGCTAAAAATTATCTTAAAGAACACATATCCTTTGTGTGAGCTGGGTCACCTCTCCACAGATCTAACATGTACACTTGACTTGTTGGAATCACTTGCTTGTCTGATTGGAGAATGAGAAGCTTATTGCCGTATTGTGGAACATTCTAAGCAAAGCAATAACATTGACAAGCAGTCAATAAAAAGGTGAAACATTTATTACTGTAATACTACATTAAAGGTCATATGGTTTTTATGGATTTTAAAAACACAGTAGAGCACTTCCTTTATTACCACTTGACATAACACGAGGAGCATTTTCTATCTGAGAAGACCTCAGCCTTAATACGCAGGATGTACGTGTTAAACATGTGTGAATGAAAACACATAAAACTCCAAGTATATTTTTGATGTGGATACAACATTATAACATAGATTAGAAAATGCGTAATATGAGCCCTTTAACAATAGACACAGTAATATAAAGTGTAAACTGTAAACTGTAGTAGTTGTAAATATTGATCATGACAAAGCATTTAAAGACCATTGTCCCATTTGGTTCATTTTAAGCCTCTCTTCCCCTTTCCAGAGGCTCCTCGGGTTTCCTTGAACACTGGCTCCACTCTCAATCTAATTGAGGGTGATGAGAAGAAGGTGGTGTGTGATGCAGACAGCTACTACCCTCTGGACGTGGACATCCAGTGGACCCACCAGGATGCGGCAGACGTGGGGCGTAGAGTGGGCGCTCCTCTGCCCAAAGTCCTGAATAATGTTCTCTACTCCAGTCAAAGTCAACTCGGACCGAACCCTGTCTCTGTCTGCGTTCTTCTACCTCAACGCCAAACTGAGCGATTCAGGGCGACACTTCACCTGCACTGTGTCACACCAGAGCCTCAGGGTGCCCATTAAGAAGAGCTTTACTCTCATTGTGGAGGGTAAGTCTGGTTCACTGTATAATTTAGGCATTTTGTACTGAACAGGGATCATAAAAACAAACATGAAGGGCTGATTTTTGTTTTAACTGTCACTGAAGGGAGATATGTCATTGGCTATATGTATGTCTAAATGTATCACGCAACAAGAATATATATATTTTTTTATTTAATGTAGTAATTACATTCAATTAGACCAGATGTGCTGCTTGAAGTAATTCCCATTCAAGAGATATAATATGTAGTTTTAAACTGTTAATTGCTATGACAACGGCCCTAGGTTACATAGGTACATACAATGCTATGCTATGAGAATCAATCTATTTGTATAATATTTCTGTAGCCGTTGCCATGCTGAGACATAAGCATAGTACACAGTGGTGGCATTCTCACTTCACAGCAAGGAGGTCTCTGGTTCATTATCAGACATAATACAGTAGGGACTCACCATCCAGTAGAGGGCCCCAGAGGTTCATCTTTCATCAGGATTTGGGATGTCCAGTTTGAGTCTAATACTATCATAGTCTTAGAGAGTTTGTAGAAACCCTAAAGTAGTTTCTTCATGGGAAAGCATAGGAAGTACATGCTAACTTGTTGTAACTTGTATTCCAGTTATTTTTCAGCAATTTTTCTCTGTTCAAATAAGTATATATGTCAGAAATGCATAGTGAAATTACTCCTTTATTTTCCCCCAGAGCCAAGTAAATGGATGTTTGTTGCCCTCTGTCTTGGTGTAATTGTAATAG